ACTGCCACCTACTGGTTTGTGACGTCATGGTGCGGTATTGGCTGTTGAGCAAGTCCCAATGCTGTATCTGGTGTTGGTCAAAACCCGCTATTATCCAAGTCATCTTGAAAACATTGTTCTTTGAAATGTTGGCTACATATTACGTGTTTTTTCTCTGGCCAGAATGATGATGGCAAATCCTCCCTTTTCAAGTTGGCAATCCAACAACAAATCTGTCCGTGCAGAATCATGAATTGGAAAAGTGAAATATTTCTTTTTATTTTTCTTTTCACTTTTACCCGATTTATTACAACATCCAACTGCTATGCACGTGAGCATACTTAACTATAGTTCTCGTGAATTTCAATGGTGAAGTCCTCTCAGAATCTTAAATAATTGTTGTTGTTTGCCGACGTGTCTAGTAGTTCCCATTGATTTTGCTTGTACGGTGGGGAGAATGGTGCTAGGCTTACCGCACCAAGACGTCACTGCCAGAAGATGTCGTGAGTGAGGTGGTACTATATTTGTGCAAAAGTGGCCGGTCCTGGACTCAGTAATCACAATGAAAATTGTTTTCATTTTTTTTTACTGATTAACACTAAATTCATTAAATCACCACAAACATATTAGTTTTAGGTACAGATAATGAACCATTGATCATTCCTTGCTGACTGGACTTTTCCTTTAATCAGAGGGCCTCACTCTTAAATTTCATTGTTCCTTTTTTCTTGTAGACTGCATTTTTATTTGAAATGGGAAAAGTGTGGGGAAATCCCCTCTGTGTATTTGCTGCTGTTTGTCTGAAGACATTTAAGATTATTGCATTCCCTTTGATGTGGCCTTATATAAAGTGTGTAAAACAGCATTTGTCCACAAGTGACAAAACAATTTCCGAGTGTGAGCTGAGGGAATAGCTAATAGGCATGCTAAACTCACAGAGGAGTGTGACAGGAGTGGGAGGTTTGGATGAAAAGATTACTTTTAAAAAGTGACATGGCTTCGTTATGAACTATGAGTTCTTGAACAGTTCATGATTTGATAAATGAAATTAAAAACTGCTTTTATGAATAGAAATGTGAGGCGACATTAACAAATGTCAGGCTTCCATAAATTATGTTGGCAAAGTGTTGAGTGAGATCAGCAGATGTGAAACCCTGAACAAAATGTCATTTTGCTGAAGTTAGTCATTAGAACAGTGGTTTTCAGCTTAAATAGGCAAGATTTATTCTTGGCTTTTCTTTAAATGATGAATGTTTTAGCACCTGAGAAAGGGCCGCAAGTCATGAGGCCCTCCGGACTCCGTTTTCTAAATGAAATGGAGAACTTACTTTGATCATCAAAAGAGGACTTCAGACCTCTGAGCAAAAGCCCAGTTTCTTGTGAGCGCATGCACGAGCCCATTTCTCTTCGTGCACACTCTGTTTAAAAGTTTCTGTTTGCATCTCTCATACAAGCCTACTTTGCAAAAAAAAAAAAAGAAAGATTTGCAATTTCTTCACTATGTCAGACATACCGGTAAGTGAAAGTGGGGATGAGCACATAGGACGACCTTATGTAAACATATCACCAGAATGATTGACAATTAGGAGGACCACTTATTTAGATAATCCACCCAGGGGGGAAAAATACATCCTCCACTATATCTTTAATTTTCAGCAAATGATGCTAGGTTACAGCATGTGTGACCTTCTGTTGTTTATCTTCCTTTTGGATCATATAATGATGCCTTATGGACATCTGTCTAGCAACCTTTGCTATGGTTTTGCAGCTTACTGAACCAGATTGAAAGACCATTTAGGGACTAAAAAAAACTTTTGCTGTTATTTTGAGTTACATAGCTTACCAGTTCATGAGTTTTTGATATTTAACTTTTTTTTTTTTTCAAATATTGAAGTTTTCTTACAGTTTTCAAACAGTTATCAAACCTTTTCCTGGTGTTCCGATTTGATTGAAACAGAGTGTACATGTGATTTGATTTTTAGGCTTCAACAAGGTTTCATTTATTTTACACAAGTACAGGGATGCCAGTTTGGTGGCAATGTTGAATACACATGGGTACAGCAAGACCAGTGGCTGTTTTTTTGTAAAAAAAAATTGGATTATGACATAAAAAAAACATTTATTATTAGTTTGGATATCCTGAAGTGGAGGGATGATTCACTTTAGGATTAACAAACACTTATGGAACAGTAAGTCCCAGTAAGACAGGAACATATAGAGGAAGACAGCAATGATTTGACACTAAAATCTGTGATGGGACATGAATCTGAGCAGGAAAACTATTGACTGGGAGGTGAGGCTGGCGCTCCTATAAAGCAGGGAAATGGAAGCAAGAAGGGCGGAGGGTGAGCTTATCCTCCCGTGTGTGTGAAAGGAAGGAACAGACGAAAGAGAGACCTGCTCACACACAGTCTCTCGCTCCCTCACACACACACACACACACACGCGCTCTCTTTCTCTCTTTTTGACGGGGAGAACCGGGAAGGGAAGAATGAGGAAGAGGTCCGCTGCGCTACGCGCCTCGTCTCAGCGAATGCGGGTTTGCTGATGAAGCGCTGCTCCGGTCATCCGATCATACAGGTCACTCAGGTCGCGCTGCATGGAAACAAGGAGTAGGCAAGAAGAGCAAAAGATAACGGCAACAAATAAAGGGGAGGAAAAGTGTTTGTGCATGGGAATCCGGAGTACTCTTCCCTCCCTTTGTGCGTCTCGGTGGTTGGATACGCTGCCTTGACTAGCGTATAAGAGCTCCCTGCGTCTCCATTATCGTCCCTCACTACTGGCTTTACCTCGGCACTACTCCTCCTTCTCCTGCAAGTACTCCTTACATTAGAAGAGCTGTATTACTACTTAACTACGAGCCAGCAACTCCGGATTGGAAAGGTAAGGCATGGAACAGTTTCCTTGGTGCCTTTTTTAAAATATTTTTTTATTTAGTCGCGGGGGTCCAGGTCTGATCCGCTGCATTGTGTTGAATGCAAGTTTTTAGGGAGGGGGTGGAGTAAATGGGATGGAACAAGGGGGACAATCTTAGAGACCCGAGATGGTCTTGGAAGCACCATGCGTCAGATGGACCTGGATGCGTTTCCTCACTCCATCCTATCCACGCGTTTCCAAGCTGCGCCTTTAATCTTTGATTTTATTTTTCTAAAATATCATGTAAGTTTTTAATTAAACCGGCTCCTTACGTTTTACGTTGTGAGCAGCTGCTGAGTTTTTTTTCTTCGTTATTCATCTTGTTATCCCATTGATTCCTTCCCCCACCCCATGCCCCTCATGTTTAAGCCCATCCACCTACCTCACCTATTTATAGAGTGATGGTTAAGGATTCAGAGCACGTTCGGATCGCCGCGCTCTCGCCTCTTTATATGCGTTCAGTGTTGATACTGGGTGACAAACATGCGCAGTACCTGCTTAGCCAACGAAAGGGATGGATGCGCACCGAGAGGCACTTTTGCGCAATCCCGCAGGCCTTGCATCCTTTGCCCCAAACAGCCTGGGCTGTTTCAGTGGGGGGGCTGCTGGAATGCCTGTGCGCTTTTGTCATCAGGTGAACATCTGTAGCATTAAAGACTTCATTTGGATCGTCATAAAAAATAAAATTAAAATAAATTTTATATATATATATATATATATATATCACATGTAATTTATAAAATAGGTTTCTTATAGTGAAGCAATCCATGCCTACGAACCATTCTCTTGTGCAATCAAGGCTTTTCCAGACGCTTTTTTCCCCTCAGCTGACTTAATTTGTTTGGTTTTTATGGGTATGACAAGGAGGAACTGTGGGACATCATCTATGGAATATGAAAAATGTATTCATGACGCTGAGAGGGTGAGAGTCAAATGCAGCCAGAGATCATAAACTGCTTTTATTTGTCCCTCCATCAGCAGTTAGGATGTTTAAAGCTGATGGAATTTAACATCTTGTGATGCCACAGTCATGCTTCCTTTTAGGCACTGGAGAGGGCAAAGAGGGGTGTTGCAAAAGGATTAAAATGTATTTCTAGCTGTATTTCAATAATTACTTGGCTCCACAATGAGAAATTTGACTTTTTTAAATAGCTGGTGATGTATCACAACTTTTTCCAGGCTTGCAGCCACTGCAATGCAACAACTGATTGGTCAAAGGAAACCATAGAAAATGACTGTCTACAAAGATTTATGGTGCTTGGAAGACAATCACGTTTTATGTTATGAGGTTAATGGAAAAAGAAATTGGAAAAATATAAATGTTCAGCCTTTTTGGGGAGGTAGGCAATTTTGTTTGCAGTTATTATTTTTTTCTCAGCTCATCCAGCACACCAAATGGGACCCTGTTGACCATACAGTAGCTTACAGTAAACAGAACAATCTGATTAAGAGGAGCTGAAGTGGGTCTAATGCTGACAATATGTTTTTTTTCAGTTTTATTTTAAACACCTTTAAGTGGAAAGGTACAGTAGAGTTTATCTCTCTTCTTTTTAATAAAAATCCATCCACACTGAAAACGTAATGCGTATCAAAAGGGCAGATTGCATCTTGTGCTGTTATCAATAAAGGTTGGCTTTGTAGAGAGAGTTCAGATCAAACCGGTTTGTGCAAAAAGAAAAAAAAAAAAGAATTTCAAAGAAAATAAGTTACCCAGACCGTCTTTCCCATTTTAGGCTATAGGTACAATCCATTTTTTCCCCTATTCATGGGAACTTTTGATATTACCTCTAAGCAATATATACCTGAATTTACAAGATGCCTTTAAGTTTTTTGCTATTTCATTGGCTGAAATTCAAGAACACCTTTAGAAAAACAGACTTTCCACCAGTTACTGGTTAAATCTTATTAAAAATATACCATTGGAATATTTTTAGCTACACTTGTTTTTGGTACTTGGAAATTTGCTCTGAATTTACTAAAAATCTGCAAAAATTGGAGATCTGCCTGATGGGTCTTGCATCATTTTACTTTCCCGAGGTGGGAAATTACTGATACCTTGACACAACCTCAGCTCCAAAATCCAAAGGTTGATGTAGATTGCATGACCAAGACTTCTTCCAAACCATCCAAGTGTAATGATGGAGGATGGATATAAGTAATGCCATTTAATTTATTAGAGTAAGTATGAAAAAAATCCTGTTCATTCTTTCTCTCAGGGCCACAGTGTGGGGTAGAATATAATAATCTTTTACTGTAACACAGTGGGAAAATAAGTAAATAAGTGAGGTTTAGTAAAGATAACTCAATACTTCATAACAGTGAAATGTGCCACCAGACTAATGCATGAAGTGCTTTAATTAGCAAGCATCATGTCTTTTTAATCCCTGACAAACAGAATCGGCAGTAATATTACCCTTGTGAGAGGGTGTTTACAGAAAATGTGGGCTAATTTTGCCCAGTGGCAGCTTTTTAAACTAAGTTGGAAAATATCCAAAAAGAACCCTGCTCTCATAATACTGGAATTAACGTGGAACAAGAGGCAGAAGTTTGTAGCTCAGGAAATACGTGTACCCATTCCTTAGCAGTCAGCATGCGAATGACCTGGAAGAGCAGCAAGGGAGGAGTTTTATTCTTTCATGGAGGATCAGTTATTGGCAGGATCAGAAGACACCTTAGATCAGGGAAGACTTGTTAGAGTACTTTCAGTTAATTATATGTTTAATGCATATCAATATCTGTGTGCATAATAAAATCCTCTTATTAATGGGCTTCTAAGAATTTATGGGGTTTTACTTGTTTACTAAATTCATTTAGGGCATCATTTCATAATGCTAAAAAGGCTGATTATTATCAGATGATCAGCTATTTAGGTCCAATAAGCATTTGCAGGTCTTCTCTCTGGTTCGGAACTCATCATCTGGATGAAGGGCAAACTGAGCGTACCTGATGTGGCTAAAGATTGACCAATATCGATTATTTTGACATCAGTCTAACCAATCCCATATACGTAAAGACTGGATTGTCTTGACAAAAATTGATATCATGATATATTTCTTCACTTCAGTCAGTTCAATGTAATTCATATATTAAAATAAACCGCATAAAAGGCCTACAAAATGCAAAGAAAACAGAATCCTGAACAAACTTATAAACATTTCATGCCAAGTAAATGAAACTCCTTCTGCATAATATTTTAGAAACTATTGATTAAAAAAGTCATGATGGTTAATGCCAACAGATGCAGATGTCATGCTCTCTGTGTGGTTTACTTCACTGTTAACATGTGCTGCTGCTCTTTCTGCTTGGCTCAAATCGTCCAAGACTGGAACATGGGTCAGGAACAAATACTAAAAACTTTTCATAAATGTGATATCACTGTTTTTTAGTGAAATTATACTTTTATTATATATTTTGATATTGTCCATCCCTTTGCAATGTTCTGTTGATGTATTTATTTATGTTTTTTCTTACGGACTGATTTTCAAAGCCAACAATCCTATTTCTTCTATTTGATAAAAATTAATCGATAACAAATGTTAATCAATTATAAATTGAAAAAAGAAACATTGAGAAAGTTACAAAACATTAACATTGAGTTGCAAATAAAGGAAGCATCTTTTTATGCACTTCAAGGGATCTGATAATAAGCAAGCCCATCAGCAGGATTTTGATTTTGTTTAGAAAAATGTCTTGATCCTCAATGGATATTATCAGATAAAATGTAATGGTGATTCCACACCTGAGGATGGAGCTTTATTCAGGATTCAAAAGTGATACACCAGATAATTATTTCCGACCTCAAAACCACGTTTAGCCATGAACTAGATAAACTTTATGCTAATATCCTTTTAAATTTTAAGTCATTTTCCTGTGATCATGCTACAAATGTCTTAGTGTTTCTTATATGAGGTATAATCCTTAAAGCAAAAAGGGACAGAAACAAAGTAGGTCTGTTTTTTTTTGTGTTTTTTTTTATATCCAAAATGTTTTTATACTCAGCTTAGAGCAGTGAAGGACAAAGATGTCCCACTGTTCTTAGTAAACAAAGATGAAAACCACATGAAAAGTCAAACATGGAGGTGAAGTGGGTTCATTCTATGTAACATTGAACAGCCACCTATAGCAATACAGATTTACTATATGAACTTAACCAAATTCGTTCATCGTCTTTTTTTTAAATGTAATGTTTATTTCATTATTCTTCGACAGTAATTGTGACGTTTAGTTGAAAAATAAAGGAATTGAGTGAGTGCAGTTATCCAGCTTGGCTGCTCTGCGGTGGATTTAATTCTAAATTCTAACCCTGCTCTGTTGTTTGACTCCATTTATAGTCCTGCTTCAGGCATTGTCTAGATTGCCTTATGATCTACTCCCATTTAACTCTAGTGATTTTGTAAGCAGAGGTGTTCAAGGTCAAGTCATTGACTGGTGGTGGTAACCCTTAACTATTAACTATTAAACATCCGCTGCCATCCTTCTGGTTTCCAAAAAGCCTGATGCTCTGCATTATTGCCTCACTTTTCTTTACACTCATTGTACTGACACAAACTTAAATGCTTGGAAGCACAGGGCATAGGGTTTAGATGCAGCTCTTATTGGGATTCGGTTTTCTATGATACCTTCTCCAGGTAAACTATGCAACTTAAGTTCTTTACTGTAGAATAATCTTTATTACTAAAGAATTACTAAAAGCAAAAAGTATTGATCTGTTTGATCAGTTACACTCCCTTATTCTTACAGTTTAATTGGGAGCATTATGTTTAGGCATATATATGCTATAGACTGGCAAACCACTGCCCCACATGGTTTCATGGATGGTATTAAAATGAATGATATTCAGTTGTTTGATTAGCAGATTTTGACTTTTTTTAAAGATTTTTTTTTTATTTTTTTTATTTGATTATAAAAAAGGAGATATTTATGATGTATCTATGTGCGTTAAGGCCAGCAATTATTTTATTTCTTGT